TTGTGTGTCCGAAAAAATTTGCCTGTCGTTTTCTTATATTCGTGATAAGTTGTTTTCTATAATTTGCTTCAACCAGGACTTCTTCATTTGTTTTTCTAGCTGTCCATGGGATACGTAGCATGCGTCTCATGAACCACATTTGATATACTCAACACAAAAAAAAGAAATGAGAAACAATTTTACACACTGACAATATTATTGTGGTGTGTATTCCGAACCTTCCCAAAAACGTTTCCTGCCATTATAATAAGGTTTTACATAATTATAGTATGCCGCCTAGAAAACTAGAATGGTAAGCAAAGTGATTTAGCCGTAGAACATTATAAAGGCGGGTTTTGCCTGGTCTCAGAGATAACATGAGCGATACAATGGTTCACACTGTTTGGTGATTTCCATTGCTTGAAAGTTCTTACAGACTGCAAGTTTCCTTTTTATTGCGTCTTTAATCAACGTTTTACCGTAAAACACTCACAGAAATGTGTTCTAAAATAGACGGATATAAAAGATGTTGAGCACAAACACAAAAACAAAAAAATAACCCTTTTTTTGCGTGCCAAAACCCGCGAAAAAGGCAAGTGTCTTAGATTTCAAAATTTTGACGAATACCTGGTTTCATTACGTCCTTACAAATGTTATACACGCAGATTTACACAACATGTAATTTTGGAGTCGTGTTGGTCCCGCTCTGTGTTTCAGAGACGACCCGGATTATGTTGGAATGGTATTCCTACAAAAGCTACTACGGGGGCTCTCGTGGCCTAGAGGTTAAGGTGTTGGCCTCTCATTCAAAGGTCCCGGGTTCGAATCCGGGTAGCGACCGACAATTTTCTTCTCTAAAATTGTCTCCTTTCCCCTCCTTTCCTGCTCTCTAGTAATATTCTGTCGTCTGCTTTCGTCTCCTCTTTCTGCCCCCACCCCCTCACCTCCTTTGCCCCTCCTTTGGGCTCTTGACTCTTTCTGCAGCATTTCTACTTCTACTCCTTGACTCCTTCTTACAGCTGTCTTTCTGCCATACAGCTGATCTTTTGGTAGGAAAGATCTACACCTAGCCTTCTTGGACAAGGGCGAAAAATCTCGGAGGGCCCGTGTGTAAGTTGCGCACGTTAAAGATCCCTTAGTGGTCTAAAATCGATAAGAGTAGGCTTCGGCCGCCATCCGTGCAAAATTCAAAATTTCCTACCAATTAAAAGTATTAGGTGTGTCCCATGCGCTCATCTGACCGTATGCAGTTGCGAGCGCCGTAAAACACTTACCAAAAAAAAAGACTACTACTGGAGATACTCGCTAAATAAATATCCTGATACGTATCAAACTGAAACGTTTCGTGAGCAAGGTTGGGTGGGGGAGGGGAGAGGGGGGGAGGGGGGAGAGGGGAGAGGGGGGGAGGGGGGATTACACCCTGAAAGTCCCGATTTGGGCCTAAATTATGGATTTTAAGGTGTAAGTACTGTTGCCTTCTTCAGCCTCTTACATGTATGGTATCGCATAAAAACACTCTAAAAGTCTTCTTTTTTTTTTAACTTACAGGGTATTTTATTCTCCACCTTTTCCTCATAAAGTCAATCTTTTATTTTTTAATCGCCCGTTTTCTCAAAACGCAGTTTTTCTACAAAGTTTTTTCATCCAGTCTTCGTACATTTCCACAGAATAAAGAAAAGATGTAACACTAGACATTGGTGTTTTGAGTTTTCAATATATTATTATGAAACAGTTTTTTAAAATGATGTCTGGAGCGTGGATTTTCACAGATATTTTTCAAACTTGAATACTACCTTAGGAAACAATTCAGTAAAATATTCTAAATGCGAAAAAAAAATATTAACAGACAATGTGAATCTATTGTTTGCTAACATGCATGCAAAATAACAACTTCTTTCCATGAATAATAAGTGCAGTACATCTATTCATTTCGTAAGACATGTCAATAAAATCCAACATAACCCCGTCTCCATGGCAACTAAATTTTCACTATGCTTCTTATATGTGTTAAATTTGGTTTAAAAAAAAGATCCAGTAATAAGCGACAGATGTAGTCCTCCCCCCCCCCCCCCCCCCCCCAAACCACCTTCTCCCTTTTAAGCCCCTAACCATTAAGTAACACTCCAAACGCCTGATGTGACCTGTTGATTCAAACACGATGTTATACATAGAAAATTCATGACATTTGAAGTTTGAACTATGAGGGCTCTCCCAGTGGGGGCTCCAATGGTTAAGTGAGAAGGTACTTCAGACTCAAAAGGCAAGTGTCAGTGTCAGTGACACGAGGTTCATGAAGATGGTCACTGGTGTGGTGTGTGTCCTTGAGCAAGACGCAACAGTCCTATTTCAAAATACAGGGCACTGCTCAATGGCGACCAGCAATGGCATGATTGCTGTGATATCAAATATTTATGTATGTATTTAAGTATGTATTTATGTATGTATTTTTGTATGCCCTAGTGTATTATGTTTGCTAGTGTAACCAAATTACCCCAAGGGGATCAATAACATATAATGTATT